TATTTTGTGCATGTTAACACCATTCTTAATTTATGAACCTCTTTGCCTACTTTTGTCTTGCATAGATTATTTGCTTAGTAGTATTTTTTCCTTGTTATTTTTTCTTTTGTTATTGTTTGCCAACTTTGTCAATTCTGTTTGTTAGACATTTCTGCCAATTACATTTAACCATGACCAATTACACTGTAGCCTATTAGTTCAATCTTTATTGACATTTTGGAGGTTTAAAAATAAAATCACTAAATTTAAGCATTTCACATCAAAAGTGACCTCATAACTTTTATATTTCAAAGGATAAAATTGGTTTTAAATTGAACTAAAAAGAACAGTTATGACATCTTGATTCTAGATAATTATGGATAAAATTTAGGGTATTTCTTCAAAACAAAACCAAATTGTCTTGTACAAATTTCACAAGATTATATAAGTTTGAAATGACATATCTGAAGAAAAAAATTCTTCAACTTGATTTAGATGTAATTTTATAACAAATAATTGGGTGTTTTAAATAGCTTTTGTATATTGTCATTTATAGAATAGACCTGTGAAAAGATCTACCATCAATATTTCTCTATGATTTCCTATTTACTTTATCCGATATACATCAGAGTTTGGGTTAATCAAACAGAAAGGAAAGGATACAGGTAATTACGAAATAGAAAAGGAAGATTCATTCATTTTGTGTCATATTAATGAAGTCTAATGTTTTATATACATATATTATACATTGTGTGTGTACTTGATATATAAAAACGTATATTTGAGCAGCAATCTTTCTTTCAAACATGTTTCGTTGAATATGACGGATATTTTTTTTTTTTAGTTTTTCTAATATTCTTACATTTTTCCATTTGGTTCAGGGGTAAGGGAGTGTAAAAACTCTCCCTAGTGTCTATTGACTCAAGTGCTTTCAGCCACTTTAGCCATTTTCAAGGGGTTTGTTATTGAGTTTGTTGTTAATTTCTTTTCATGGTTGTCTGTTTAAAATGTAGTTGCGTGATACCTAAACAGACAACTATGGAAATTAACAACACTGAACAAGAAACTTGAAAATGGTTAAAGTGGACAAAATTGCTTGGCACAAAAGACACTACAGACAAATTTTACACTCCCTTTCCCCCACCAAATAGGAACATGTAAAGTAAAAATATTAGAAAAAATAATAAAAGTTTCAAATTTTACTTGTCTGTCATATTCAATGAAATACATATTTTGAACCATTTCACCCTAAGCAAGGCAAAACCTACTAAGACAAAAGGAATTAAGGAGTGTTTGAGAATCTGAGAAAAAGAAAACATTATTAAGGAGAGAGAACAATAAAAGAACAGGAATTAAGAAGACAGGAAATAATTTAAATTTTTGAAGATCAAAGTTTACTGAAAAGCAAGAAGCCAGAAGAGAGTTCCACAAGCAAGAAGTGTGACAGAAGAAACTAAGATCATGTCAAAGCATGAAGTTGAGTCGCCATGCAGTGTTGATTCCTATGTCCAAACTATTGTGTGTGTGTGTGTGATGGTTTAAAAAAAAAGTAATTCATTTTTTCATAATTACTCATTTTGCATGTCTTTATTAATAATATTATTTCAAAATACATTCAAAAAAATCGTAAACAAAGTTAACCAAATCAGCAAAATATTTTACCGAGGCAACGCCAAGTATTAATTTTGGGAGTAAACCTGTAAATTGATTGTTTAAAAATAAATGTAGTCTTTCACTACAGATCAAACGGGAGTATCTGTTCTCTTGAAAGACTAAATCGCCAGATTCAAAATTTCAGGACAGATTTCAAAACATTTTTTTAATGATTAAAACAAATTTAATAAATATATAAAATTTATATATTTATTAACTTATTAAATAAATTGAATGAGAGTCAATTTAAAAATTAAAATAAAATATTGTAGCAAATATTTTTTAAAGAAAATAACGACCTCGTAATTTTACTTACCCAATTTCGTTAAAAAAAAAAAAAATTTAATAAATAAATAATAAATTAATAAATAGTTATGAATAATTATAAAATAATAATGCAGTACCCGTAAAAACAAAGAAAAATAGAAAAGCTTGATGATACTGATTTACACTGTTAAAAAATCCCAAGGTAAGGATGTCGACTGTTAAATATTTTTAACAGTCGACATCCTTACCTTGGGATTTTTGTGTGCATTATTTTTGGTAGAGCTAAAGTGTTGATTATTTTTATTTAGTTTTTTGCGTTTGCTAGTGTACAGAAAGGCAACAATTTATTTTAACATTTACTTTTTTTACTTTAACAAGGAAAAAAAATAGCGTCGAACGTTCGTTAAACTATAACTAGAGAGAAATCTTTAAGCATATGTAATTCAATTGTAATAAAAACTGTTTTTATTCCGATCCTCATTTCTTGCAAATGTTTTGATCGTAATACTCTCCGACCATCATGCGATTAATGATTTTTAGTAGTGGACTAAATGATTAAAAATAAATGGACAACGTTCACTTCATTATTCAGAAAACTAAAACATCAAATGTTTCTTTGACGCCTTGATAACGATAGCTAAGGATTGAAATTCAAAACGATTTCCTTTCTTAAATTGACAACAAACACGAGAAGACTATGTTTTTAAAAATAGTAAATAAATATACTTTTTCAACATTAACAAAATTTAAAAGAAGCTAAACAAAAACTCTACTCTGCTTTTTTGTGTTTTTCAGTTTTTGTTTTCAAAAACGGCTCAAAAAATTAAAATTTTCATTTTTAAAGACGAAAATCGCCTGTTTTTTTTTTTTAGGATTTAAGATTGTTTACTACGGAATAAAAATGAATAAATACACTTAGTCACTGCATCTCTTGGTGATAGGTGTTTATTTTTATGAACGAATCGAAGATTGATTTTTGACTAATTGACTGACTACTAAAGAAAAAAACAATCACAACGGTTTAAAAACAATATGTGAAACTTAAAGGGACGATCAAACTACAGTATGACGACATTTAATGCATCATTGGATTTAGTTTATTAGTAAAATAGTAATAAATGGACGTCACGGGAATACAGCAAAAAATGAAAGAGTAACAAAAAGCAATAAAAACAGCCTGGGATGGTAGTCTTTGGATTGGATCATTCATTGGTGATTTCAACAATCAACGAACAAACTCTACTAATGTTATTATTCAAGATCTTGTCTTCTTGCACACGCACTATATATATATATATATATATATATATATAGAGAGAGAGAGAGAGAGAGAGAGAGAGAGAATTTCGATATGAAGAACTGAGCAGATTTTTTTTTTATTTAACATCGTACCTTTTCGCACCAAATGTCATTTTTCTGGCTTTGATTCTTGATTATTTTAAAAATACTACTTTTAAATCCTTAAAGAGAAATGATGCGTTTTTGTTTGAGAGGAAAACAATAACCGTTTTTTGGTACATCGATATGCATCGATAGATCATTATTAATTATTCCTTTCGTCTTACTGTTCTCGGTCGCTTCTTCACGCAACTTCCAGATCGTCATTCTATATGATCATTAATCGACAGTGCTGATCGGAACTAAAAGAAGCCTTCAAACTGCGCCACTTGCTAACGATCGTAGAATGACGACCTGGGACTTGCGACAGAAGGCAACTGAAATTAAGATGAAAGAAATGCTATTTAAATAAGAATAAAAAAATACGTGGATGATCAAATATTATAATTGCGTAACTGGAATGGAAGTAAAAACAAAAAAACCTGCATTTGTTTGCGAATTTAATTTTTCTCTTCAAGAGAAGGATTTTTTTAAACTATTACTAAAACTAAAAGAGGCTAACTTCAAAAAGGTGAATTTCATGAAAAAGGAAAAAAAAAAAAAAATAAAGCATTGTCTATATATAATTTAAAGAATAGAAATAAAAATATGTTTTAAGGTATTTTTAAAAGATATTTACAAAATACGCCACGATTCATCCTTTTTCTGGAGTTCGAGTCACCATTTCAAACAAAAACAACATAACCGAATGAAACGAATTGTTCAGCAGGAAGAGAAGTTTTTTTTTTTTTTGCTTTTTTCCATGGATAAGGTAAAAAAAAAATATGGCTAAATAAATACAACATGTAAAATATCTACACAATGAAAATTAAACTGAAGTGTTTTATTCTTTATTTGAAAAAAAAAATTCAAATATGAAATGAAGGTCATTATTTAAACTGTGGACCCTTTTTCGTGCTCAGTATTCCTTTAGGTTCCCCATGATCAAACAGATCTTTGAATTATTTAATTACTGCTTTAGATTTGTTATATTCTTTTCTTTTAATCACAATATGCCAAACAGAATTACAAGTTAAATTGTATAGAGTTTCTGTTTATTAGAGATAAAAAAAAGTCTAACAAAAAATTAACCTCGACAGTTTTTGTACTTTTTCTTAACCTGTTTGAGGGCAACGAGAAGGGTATAGCCGAGTTGTCGATTTTCGAACGAAGGATAAAATGTTTATTTTTATAATTAAAAAAATAAATAAACATTATTTCATACATTTTTACTTACAAAACAAAAAAGACAAATAAATTATTAGTTCTAACAACTTAGTCATAACTCATTTAAAATTAACGAAACTGAAGGAAAATACCTTTCATTATTTTTTTAGTCATTAAACTTATTTTATTTTTATGCAAAACTACATGATTTGAAATAAGTAAGAATTCGAAATAGATTACTAATTTCTTAAATTTAAGACCGCAAATAATAACTCTTTCTATTTTGAACTAAAATTAAAAAAAGACTACATCAGCTGTTATTTCACAGCGCAGGTCGATAACTTTATACAAAAAAAAAAATTACCAACACACGAAAATATACTTATCACCAACTATAAGCAATGATATGCACTGCACAGAACAATAAAAGCTCAACTCAGAATCGAACCACAGAACCCGGCTTGTAAATAATCATTTCTCTTCCCTTCCCTAAAAGATCCGAAACACAGGTAATGATAGTGCATTGAAAGAAAAAGAGAAAGCTGTATGCGACTTACTGTCGAGCAGTTCTTTGAGCTCATCATCAACTTCGTTGTCAGTAGGCTCGACATTATTGTAATGATTGTACATATCTGTCCCATCAGTACCGGCTCCGGCCACTCCATGATCGGGCGGGTCTGAAGTAGATGAAGCAGCCGCTGACCAGCTAGAGTCACCCATCGACGACATTTTGCTGCAGCTTTCTCTCACGTAGGTGATCTGCCCTTGTTTACGTGCACTCGCGCACAGGCGGCGCTACCAACTAAATGCTACACTCGACAACCGGTAGCCACTGAAATAGTATAAACCAATTAAAAAGTTCCACCCTTTTGCAATCGTTTTTCTATCAACATTATGAATTATTAAAAAATGCGATATAATAAAAAAGACATTAATGTTAATTGAGTTGAAAAGATCACATTTTCTGTGTAAAAAACAATGCAAATAATGTTTTCTCTATTTAAAATCAACTAGTTACTTTTACGGCGTTGGTAAATCGTAGTCACAATTTGAAAAAATTATTAATTGTGACTATAAAAATGAAAATTATAATTTATTTACATTTATTTGCGACAACCTTTTTTCAAAAAAGTTTTTGTATGTCAAGTTGTGAGTAAACTGATTTTTGTGGATGTATCTTCATAAGTAAACAATGTTACTACGTTTGTAGAAATGGATATGTATGTGTGATGATATACAGAAAGTTCATACGTTTTTTTCGTAAATGTCATTTACTCGTAGTTTACAAAAGAAACAAAAGATACAAAGAAACAAGCGTGTTGACTTAGTAGCTGACATAGTTTCTGTTGTTGGTGAGTCTTTTACTCTCTAGCCGTTTCGCTTATCTCTTTGCAGAAAAGGAGTGACCTAGGGTAGATCTGTAAATTGGATTGACTGACTGCGTCCTGTTGCAAAGTTTCCTATTTCTCTGTTTTCAGTAGTTAAAAGTTTTTAATTTAATCATACCAGCAGTCACTGACTGATACATTTTCTTTTTTACACCATAATTTGTTTTTTACTACGTCCATAAATTTCTAATAATATTATAGGTTTTATTTTTGGCGGATTTTTTCTAGAGTCTACCATTTTGAGTTATGTAGGCGTGGTTGATTCTCTTTTCGTGTGTATTTTTTTTACATGTTTATTTCATTTTTACACATTCGATATTTGAATTATTAAATTTAAATATTACTATAAATTGCTATTAATCTAACAAAGACTTATTATAATAATGTCTTCACAAGTAATTAAAAGTAAGTGTCAATCATCTTGTTTAAACTTATTTATTAATTAATTTTATCTTTTTCATTTGAAACATTTATATTCATTGTGATACACTGGTGAAATTATAAAAAATATGTGAAAAAATACAACCCTCTATCCCATTCCATTACCTAAAAGGAAGACATTTCAACCCATGAAGTTTTCCAATGTGACTTTTTTTATAAACTTTGTTTCTGAGCCTGATTATGGTGATGCTCTGTCTGGTTACTGATAATAAAAAAAAGAATGTTCTAGGAAAAAAAACTTTGGAAGAGAATTCTTTCTCAATATTATTTTCAACCAACCAGAAAAACAGAATTTGTATAAAAAATATTTTTAATAAAAACAATAATATCAAAATTGTATGAGAAAAAAATACTGAACTTGTGTAAAAATTAATAGAGAAATTATTTTAATAAAAAAGTTAATATTGAATTGTATTAGTAACTAGTTAAAAAAAATTAGAAATTTACTAATAGTTTTGTTTTCACAGAAACTGACTAAATGAAGCCAAACATTTTATATAAAAAGATATGAATAAGTGAAGCCACTAGCAGGTTTAAATTACTATTCACTCACAAAACAAATTAGAGTGGATAGTGATAGAGACATAAGTCATCAGATGAAGTTAATTTCAGCAGTGAGTTTAGAAGAGAATGTTGGACTCAAAGATACCATGTGACCGACCAACAATTACAGGTATTTCACAAAACCTTAATTTTGATAATTTTGAACTTGTTCATCTGAAACTACTCTCAAACAGACCAAGTCTTTCTTGATAATACAAGACAACTTGCTGACTGCTACTATAATTCTTCACGGTTCTACCAACTGATTCAGGTTTACCACAACAAAGATTAAAAAAATCTCGTGAACTTCAATGTCACTCTCTCAACCAAGAACTTTTATAACTTCAACTACTAATGTAAGTTCCCACTTTCTTATGAACATTTTTTCTGCCTAACTTAATTTTTCATGTACTGTTTTGAGCAAACCTGTACACCTTTATTTACTTCACATAAATTATTGCAAATAAACAAATTCTTTCTGTTTCAGTTTCACACTAAGTCCTTTTTTATTTGGCACTAAAAAATAACTTATTTTTTATATATGGGAAAATCCTCATAAAATGCAATAAACCATTATTTTTCTTTTTACAGTTCTTCAAATTTAGTTATGAGAATTATTTGCTAGTATAATCAGGATAATTAAATTTCATCTGTATAAACTGCTTTCTTAGATAGATGGTTAAAAATGGCTTCAAGCAAGTTAAGCATGAAGGTCTTTATGAGGACCATCCTTTTTGATCCTTGTGGATTGTCACTACAGAATCCCAAACAAAGAACTGTACCAGATAATGAAAACCACATCAGTTGAGGACTTTTAATAGCAGCAACAACTAAAATGGATAGCACATGTAAATCAAAGAAAGAATAATGTTATAATCAAGATGCTGACATTCCACACTACCTCAAACAAAAGCAGCATTGGCTGTTCAGTCAGTGAATGCTGAATGTTTCCATAAAAGGTAAAAGGCCAATATTACCATTAGATAATGAGAACAGATACTACACTTTGATCCTAGTTCAATGTCCGGGGAGCAAAGGAAAGCATAACTTGAGTATCATTGGCAGCTCAGTCAATGAATGCCAAATGCTTCCTTATAAGGAAACAATTAATATTATCATTATCATTACCAAATTTCAGGTTTATTATTTTTATAAACAAATAATTAGATCAGTGATCTTTTCAGTTCATATCAATAATAAAAAGGATGATAAAGCTTATCAAATCCAACAATTATTTTTAAAAATTAGGAGTTTTTTAATTATTTTCTTATATAAACACAATAAAATTAAACAGCTGATTCATTATATGTATTTAATAAGAAGTAGACATATTATTTAAAACTGTATTATAACTGTGAAACCATAGAATGGCATACATAGTCCTCAGTATGATGATAAACTACATCTGGCAGCAAGGCTTCTGCTTGAGAGATTAGAGGTTTTAATTGCTGTTATTCCCACTTCCACCCTGACAGCTCCTGTTAGAGTTCCAGCTATGGAAAGATAGCATTTTAATTTTTTTTTTGATGCTTCACTACATCTAAAATATATTATGGTAAAAATGCCAGCAATATATTTATAAAAAAATAACCAGTTGTTATGATGAACTTAGTAGCCATAGATATTCTACATATACTTATTCAAAGTTGCTTGTGAGTTATAGTTATAGCTTACTTTATGCTAATTACCTATTAGCTAAACCAATCCCATTACATCTCCCTGAATCTTTTGGATATAACTACCTGTATGGATCTATGGTTTATCCTACATTCCCTCCACCCCTTACTGCTTTCTTAAGTATTTCTCACTTTGGGGGACCTTGATCTAGTTCTTTTATTCTCAGTGTCCCATGTTTGTACCCTGAGTTTTCCAAAAAACTATGATTGTCCATTGATTCCTCTGCCCTGCTTTCTTGTTCATCTACATAGTCATTCAAACTAACTTTGCTTTGTACTTCCTCGTAATTTTGGCTAGCTCTTAACTGGTCTGCATGGGCGACAATATTTTTACCAATCTTGTATATTAATGCCATGTTGTATCCTTTTTGCATTATGAAATTTGGCTTTTCCGGCTTGTTTTCCTTATTTCTTTTGTACCATATGTTTTCATTAATAGAGTAAGACATGGTTAATGAAGCTCTAATCTGTCTGCCCATTAATGCTGACAGACTCTCTAATCTGTCAGTAGGTGGTATCGTTCTGTAACTCAACAATAATCTTGGTAGGAAAGTTTCAATCTTTTCTTGCTGAGAAGAAAATATTTTCAATCCCATCTTTATTGTTTGAACCATTCATTCAGCAATCCCATTTGATTGAGGGTAGTAATATTGTGTTTTATATGGGCCAATCTTCCTTAACCATGAGCATAGACTTTTGTCACAGAATTCAGGAGCATTATCAATTACTAATGTTTTTTTTACTTGATTTCTAGCAAATATTATGCGTAATATTTGTTTTACAGCAATAGATTTTTTTTATCCTGAACTCGGAAAACTTCAGACCAGGTGGAAAATGCATCAACCTGTATGAGACATAAACCTACCCCATTAACTTGTGTGTGATCCATATGAACTCTAGATCATGGGTCTGTTTCCTTAGGTTAAGGGTATAACTTATTGTGTAAGAAATTCTTTATTTCAGAACATTTAAGACTTTTGCATACATAATTTTCTACATCTCAGGTGTGTCCCTGCCACCACACTTCTAGTTTTAACCTTTTTTGTGTAGCAGTTATCCCACAATGCAGATTGGGCAAAGGATTCGGAAAGAGTTGGATGATATATCCAGTCAGTATCATGGTGTTTGGAGTGATCACTAGTGGTGGCAATTTTATGCCTCCATTCATCTTCCCACAGGGCCACAGACTCAACAAGGAGGCCTACATCAAGTGCCTTGATGAGGTAGTGCTGCCCTGAGTCATGAGGGTAGCTGCTGGGAAACCCTATATCTGGTAACAGAACTCTGTACCATGCCACACAAGCAGGAGAACTCAGTCATGACTATCTGACAATTTCTGCAACCACATCACCTCTTACATCTGGCCACTTAAATCTCCAGACTGCAATCCCCTTGATTATTATGTGTAGGGCACAGTTGAGTGGAAGAACAATAAAACTCCTTGTAACACTATAGATGAACTGAAGGCAAGGGTTATGGCAGCATTCACCAACTTAAACAAGGAGACCCTCCAGAAGAGATGTAGGATATTCTGAAGTCATCTGGAGGCAGTGGGTGAAGCCAAAGGTGATTTTATTAAATAAATTTACTCTTTAGTATTTCAAGACATTTTTGTGTAATTTTGGTAAATATATCTGTTAAAATGTGATGTCAGCATTATTTTCATTTTCAATAATTTAGA